ATGCTAACACCAGCTTACCCATGCTAGCTGCTAGCCTCTCCAATGCTAACACCAGCTTATCCATGCTAGCTACTAGCCTCTCCAATGCTACCAGCTTACCCATGCCAGCTACTAGCCTCTCCAACGCTAACACCAGCTTACCCATGCTAGCTGCTAGCCTCTCCAATGCTAACACCAGCTTACCCATGCTAGCTACTAGCCTCAACAATGCTAACACCAGCTTATCCATGCTAGCTGCTAGCCTCAACAATGCTAACACCAGAAATCGATGGACGCGCAGTGGTCTTAATTTTGGCCCTCACACCACACCATAGTTCAGAACCACTGAGCTGTAGGAACTGGGTCGGACCACTGAGGTCTCTGAAGGCAGGACGGTGGGCGACATGAATTCTTTTAAAGAACGGTAGGTTTCCTGCTGTAATTACCTGACCCTTCACCTGTTCATCACTTTAACACCTGTGCACCTCAGTAAGCCCTCCAGCACCTGGGACCCATGAAACCTGACCCAGAGTCCAGTCTGAGTCAGAGCTGTGTGACCCGGCTGCCCGGCCCTTTAGCCTGGACAGGATGTCTCACGTTACAAATTCACCTGTGGGAGTGGAACACCTGAACTCTTTGAACGAGGAGAAAGTGGAGCAGCTTGTTCGAAAACACAAACATGGCGTCCAGTTCTGAAACATGAAGCTGTGAAAACAGAACCTTTGTGGATCGGACCTCCAGGCTTCAGGGTCAGCAGGGCTAACAATGATGGAGGTGTGTCCCTGGATGACCTTTGACCCCAGGATGAGTCCTGCTCTGTGATCGTTTGGTCTGGTCTGAGGGTGAATTAAAACTCTTCATCCTGCTGGGCTTACATCGGGTTTTTCTGCTGGTCCAGGAGTACAGAACCCTACTGGACCCAGGTCAGGTCAGAGGTACTGCTGGTTCAGTGGACGAAACCCGACCCAAGAAAACTGGTGGTTCAGTGAAATCCAGACCTGCTTTCTGTTTCTCTCTGTGTGTGTGTGTGTGTGTGTGTGTGTGTGTGTGTGTGTGTGTGTGTGTGTGTGTGTGTGTGTGTGTGTGTGTGTGTGTGTGTGTGTGTGTGTG